ATAAGATAAGAGCAATAGAATAAGATAAGAACAAGCAAGATGATCTAATCTAATCTGGATGAGACTGCTGTTGCCGAACTGGGTAGGATGAGAATCATTGAATCACTGCTGCTGCTGGCGGTGGGTCAGGTTCCTGCTGCTGCCGGCGGCGATGATACTTCTTCCCGAGGAATGCGTCCATAACAATATATTATTTTTTCTGCAATGGACAATGCATTCTGCTAGAATGGACTCAATTAATTCTATTATTTTAATTATATCCAATTTATAAATTCTAATAAAATATATTTTAAAATTTTCATAATAATCAACTATTTGCTATATATTTTTGAAAGATAATAAACCAATTACAATATGATAACCACAGTTTTAAGGATCTAAAATATATTAAAACCTGTAAAGAGGTGGACCTATGCTCCTCCTTTTTCTTCTATACATATGTAGCAATAAAATTTCTCACTTATCAAAGAGAGGATCTAATAAGCTTGTAATATAGTATATCCAGTACTAGAAGATTACTTTATTTTGCTATTTTATACCTTCTGTGATTAACAAGGAGAAAGACCTATCATAGTAGAAAATGCATATCCAGTGCATTGTTGTCTCTAAGTCATCAAGTAATCAAGAACAAAGTGATGATGACAAGTAAGGTATTAGTATGCCTTTTCTTGTATGAAGAAATAATATCTAATTCTGGAATTGTATCCCTATTTTATTTGGGTGTTTCAACCCTGAATCCCTGATGTGTGTATTTGCAGGTTATATTGGTTCTGTTTCCTTTCTGGACACTATATTGAAGGTTATTGATAAGCTACGATCAGTTAACCCTAAACTTGTATATGGTAAGTAAAATTCTACCTTTCAGTGCAAACTGCCTTTGAGCCTTATCTTCAACCCTAATGTTGGAATTTAGTTATCATTTTGAGTTTTGTTTATGGATTTTGTTTTATTGAGCTCATCTTTTAGTGGAACTTTTAAGTAGTTTGTCAGCTCCTTAATGGCTGAATGGCATGTTAAGTTGTTCATTGTACCCTAAATATTTTATCATATGACTATTTTATCCCCTAAAAGAGAAATCAATATGTTATTAGTTAAGCCACTACAGCCTTAATTAAAGGGCTCCCCCTAAACCATAAGTTTTTCTTCTTTTTTTTTTTGTGTGTGTGGGGGGGTCTGATTTGATTTGTTGAATGTACAGTAAAGATAAAAGGCATCTGGTGAATCTCCTACACTGAAAGAAATTGGGAATGTAATATTATCTTTAGCTGACTAATATTCCTATATGTAGAGACTGGTAATGTTGTTTTGTATAAAAGATGATCGATCCTATTTTGATTTGGATTCTAATTTCATTTTCTTTGCATTCTTTTCTTTTGTTATCAACTACTATTTTGGAAGTTTCTCTTCTTATTGATTAGAAAAGCAAACCAACTAAATATTTTTAATATTGTATTTATTTTTGTGCTTGTATTGAATTTAAGAAATATAATTGGCTGTCAGCTGCTTGTCTTGTCATCTTGTTCCTTAATAACAACACTGGAAAGCAAATAAGCACCTAACTATGTAGTTCTTTCATCTATTGGTTAGTGATAGAAGTAACTTGTTTTCTAATGATTAAAAAAAATCTTTTCTAATGATCTTGCTATAAGTTAATCTAGCACTGTGTTGGTGGTTGTATTTTTTATTAATTTGGAATCTTTGTGTCTAGTTTGTGATCCTGTGATGGGCGATGAAGGAAAGCTTTATGTTCCTCCAGACATGGTATCTGTATATCGGGAGAAGGTGAGCTCCTCCTCCCTTCTTAATTTCTTTGTTTGGATAGTAAGAGCATGAGCAGTTTAGTTGATAGGAGTATTTTTAACGGGTAAAATTTGTATTTCTGAACATTGACTTGAACGAACTAATCTTCATGTTCATAAAGAACTTGTTTTCACAAATCAGAATATCTGTACTCTCACAAATCAGAAAAACCATATACTCTGCATATGGTGATTTTTCTTCCCTATCTTCAGTTCTTTACAATGATTTATGGATTATGTAGTAGGAATTGGGAAACCATGGGACTTTTTCTCTTCTTGTGATGGTATTGCAAAGGATATGATAAATTGGAACTTGATTTTAACCTCTAAAAGATGTTGGATACCTATGGATATGCTGAAAATGATCAAAGTGTTCATGTCCACATACATACAAATATATGAAGAACCCTTGCAATAGAATCATACTTGAGCAGCTACTTTAGATATCTATATGAGAGAATAATCCACAATGTAGAAATATCATCTAGCAGGATCTATACAGCCATTACAATCATTGTTGAAGTACTATCTTTGAGACTTAAGAGTGTAACCCCTTCCATTTCCACGCAACTTTAAGGTGGCTTCATTCAAGATAGGCAAATTGTTGATCAAATTTTGGTTGCCAACAAATGCATCGAGGAAGAAAAAAGGAGATCTGGTGACAGAGGAGTTGTGTGTAAGTTGGATGTCGAGAAAGTCTATGATTTTGTGGCCAGGTCTTCTTTAATAGAGGTAATGAGGAAATGTGGATTTAGGGAGAAATGGTGCAAATGGATTGTTGGTTGTTTACAAACTTGTCATTTTTTGGTCTTGGCCAATGGTGTTGTATGGGAATTTTTCTCCACTTACAAAGGTCTTAGATGAGGGGACCCACTATCTCCTTTCCTTTTCACTCTAATAGTGGATGCGCTTAGTGGGTTGATTTCTAAAGTTAATAGGGACGCATTGTTCAGGGGTTGGGTAGTTGGGAGGAACAATATTGTGGTTACTTATCTCCAATTTGCCATCAATATAATGATCTTTTGTGATGGGAGTAATTTATGTCATACGAGGAGGTTGAGATTGCTGCTAAAGTTGTTTGAATCTTTGTCAAATTTGAGTATAAACTTCGAAAAGAGTTGTGTAGCTGGGGTAAATTTGGAGGACAGTGAATTAGGTGCAATAACGAAGACGCTAGGGTGTTCTACTAGTGTTTGGCCTATGAAATACCTAGTTCTTCGGTCTTCCTTTGGGATGCAATCCAAGGAGTGGTGATTTTTGGACCCTTGTCTTAGAAAAGTACAAGAAAAGGTTAGCAGCTTGGAAACATAACTATATTTCCTTGGGTGGAAGGATAACTTTGATCAAGTCCACTTTGACCAACCTTCCATTGTATTACCTCAGTTTTTGGGATGCTGAAAACAGTGACTAGAAAATTGGAGAAGTTAATGATGGATTTCTTGTGGGAGCTAGGGGAAGAAAAGAAAGATTATCTAGTGAATTGGGAAATGTTTTTGTAGGAGCAAGGAACAGGGTGGTTTGGGACTAGGAAGTGTTACATGTAAGAAATTAGCTTCGCTAGGCAAATTGTTGTGGAGGTTGTCCTTAGAGAATGAAAAGCTATGGCAGTGTGGTAACAAGCATACATGGTCCTTCACATATTTTCTATATATTATATAAACATATGAATATATACATATATTATATTTATAATAATCTATTTATAAATATATGATATATATTATATATTTTTATAATATTTATACTATATTATATATCATTTATTATTATAATATAATATCATACATATATTTATAATATATATTATAAATATAAAAAACCAAAAAACCGAAGAACCGAACCAGTCAAAAACCAAAACCAGTCAACCAGTTAACCAGTTGTACCGGTTCGGTTTCGGTTCGAAGAAATCAAAAAACCAGTAGGACTGGTTCAGTTTGAAAAAAATGGCCATGGTTCGGTTAACCGAACTGTGGACACCCCTAGTGGTGAGGTGCCTCTTAAAGATGCTTTTCCTTCTCTTTTTGTTTATCCATTATAAAGAAGAGCCAATCTCTAAGTTTTACTCCTTGTCTAATTGATAGCCCAGGATTTGGGCTTTAGAAGAGGTTTGAGGGAGGTTAATTATTTTCTTATTGGTGAGTTATTGCTTCTCCTAAAGTTAATTATGGTTGATTCCTCCAAGTCTGATGGAAGGATTTGCACTCCTAATTCAAAAGGTCTCTTCTCTTGTGCTTCTTTTTTTAAGAGTCTTGTGTCCCCAAATACTTTTCCATCTTTCGTGGTATGTGAATTCTGGTGTAAACTTGTTCCCCTAAAGATTGAGGCTTTTTGATGGGAGGGATTTCATGGAAAATTTAGTACTTTGGGTGCGCTGCAAAAAATTGGAAACAACCTCTCTATCCCTTCCTAGACCCCCATGTTGGCGGGAGCCTCGTACACTAGGCTGCCCTTATGTGTTGCAAAAAAGAAAAAAAAAATGTTTGTTTATCCTCATATTGGTGCATTCTCTACAAGGCAAATGGTGAAACTGGTTACCACCTACTAATCTCTTGTCCATTTGTTACTTTTATTTGGGAATGGTTCTTTTCTCTCTTTGGGTGTAGGTGGACTCTACTTACAAGCTTGACTAGTTTGTTTGAGGCTGTAATCTTCAGTTGACCAAGAAGAAGAAGAAGATTGATGTGGAGATGTACCAGGGTCGCTATGTTGTGGATAGTATGAGAGGAGAGGAATGCAAGAATCTTCAAGGAAGAAGGGAGAAGCATGGAAACAATTTTAGAGTGTATCACAACAAGGGTGATTCACTGTAAAATCTTTGGACTTGTTCTGATCTTATTCCTTTGATAACCTGAGGGGAATTGGAGGGAAAGATAAGTGGTTGCCACTTCAACAAGGAAGCAAACTTCAAAAAGATTGGGAACCACCTTAAGAAAATTTTATAAAACTAAAATTTGATGGAAACAGCTTTGGCAACCCAGGCCCCTCGGGAATTGGAGGGGTTTTTCAGGGACAGGGATGGTAGTATAATATTCTTGTACTTGGGTCCTGTTGACATGGGGGATTCAACAAGAGCTGAATTGCTTGCTATACTATTTGGAGTTAAAAAAGGAAAGAGAGATGAACCTTGGGAGGGTGGTCATTGAAGGGGACTCTCAAGTGGTGGTTGGTTGGTTGAAGGATGAGAAAGACTGCTTGGACTCATAGAGATACTATTACAAAGATCAAATGGATAATGTAGGAGATGGCAATAAAAACTCAATGGGTACCAAGGGCGGCTAATGGTTTGGCTGATGCATTAGCCAAGCAAGGGGCAAATAGGGGTGATTCATATTGGGCACAAGTGTAATCATTGTATTTCATATATCTCTGTTCCGGATCCTCTAGATCCTCATAGTGCATATTTTTCTGTTTATATAATGAAATGAAATCTTGGAGACACATGCAGGAATAGGTGATGGATAGATTTACCCTTGTATTTCTGAGGGGCAATGCTGCCCTGTCCCAACATGGCTAGGTGTAGTTTTCTAATTTTATTTTTCTTTTACCAATAAAACTTAAGATGGCCACCTTTGAAAAACCTTTCTCTTTCTCTCTCTCTCTCTCACACACACACAACTGTTATGTCATTGAAATTGAACTAAAATATGCCAGGATCTTAAGTTCAGGAACCAATATTGAAGGCTCTGCGCTTGTTTATTTATTTATTTTTGATTCTGTAACTCTTTCATTTGACATGTAAGAAAATTTGGTGTTATGATTTCACAAAAATTTTGATTCTGAACATATTTTTTTGTATAGGTTGTCCCTGTTGCTTCAATGTTGACCCCTAACCAATTTGAGGCAGAGCAGTTGACAGGACTCAGGTACTATTTATAGTTTTTTTCTCCCTTTTGAAGCATTTTGATGATGCATAACTTGTGAAAGCTGAACCACTGTAGTCGAAGTAGCAGAGAAGAGGAGAAGAAGAAGAGATGCTGAAAATGTCGAACTGTACTAGCCAGTCGACCAGTTCTTTATTTATAGATGAATA